GCGGGGCTCAGCTCCGCATGGGCGGCGGGCAGCCGTCGGGGCGCCGGCGGTCAGAACCTCCGCCGCTGTTAGCCGCAAGTCTGCTCAACGCGGTGCTGGGACTCCGCTGGCGCGCGCCCTTTCTTAAGTTGCGGGAGGAGGGGCCGGCGCGTAGGGAGTGTAGCGTCGCGAGTTCTGATTGGTCCTGCCAGGCGCGCGTCACGCAGAGGGCGGGGCGTAGGCGGAGCGGGGCGTGGGGGGGGCGGCGCCCTCCTCGTTGGCGCGGCCGGCGCTTGAGGCGCGAGTCCCGGCTCTTGGGTGGCTCTCCGGAAGGGGAACTGAGGTAAAAGCCGGCTCCACCTGACTGGCGTGGGCGTCCCTCCCGCTTGTTCAAGCACGCGGACGTCCCGGGCGGAGGAGAACCGGGGCCCCCTCTGGTGACCCGGGTGTCCCCAGCAGCCAGCACGGACGGGAGACCTCCTCGCTAGGCGTTCGCTACAGTCTGGAGGCCGAGATGCCACCCCAAATTCACAAGGGGGGAAGAGGAGCCCCAGAGGTGGCAGGAAGTCCCCACGGCTGGCGACCTGAACCTCTAAAGGCAGGAAGGCATTGCGCGACGGCCCCCTCAAGAAAGGCGACATTTCCACGCCCCCCCCCCAGCACCCCACTCCAGGGAACTCTGAAAGAATCCAGGCGCCCGCCCGCGGGGACCAGGAAAGGGCGCCAGACGCTGAGGGGAAGGTGAAGACACCAGGGTCCCCAGGCCACGTTCAGCGACAGTCCTTGGGGGGGGTAGGGGGGGGAGAATTCCACCAATCAGACCTGGACTTGATGGAACTCTTGCCTGGAGTCACTTGCTATCCACTGGCAGCACTGATGGTCAGGCCTCTCCCAGGGGAGACACCTGTCCCCAGACTCTGGGAGAGGACAGACAGGCCCAGAATCAACCCCCTGAAGAGCAAATGCATTGGGACCTCAGCCTGAGACTCACATAGTGTTTTCGAGAGATTTCGGGGCCGAGCTACAGACCGAGCTGGTTTACTGTGCCTTCGAAACGGAAAATCTTTCTTTATTATTTTTCCAAAATCCCCTTGCAAGGTCATTAATCACATTATCCATTACAGCAGAAATAAATGGATTTGTCGCTTGTGCACAGAAGCCTGGTGGATTCTGCCAACAAATCGTATCAGAATGAATGAAATGATGATGCTAATATAAAAGATGGCAGGGATTCTTCTCAGCAACCCAATCCTGACCTGCTTTGCACTTCAAACAATTGCTTCCGTTATGTAAACAGTGGTGGGATTTTCAAGGATGGTGCTGTGTAATCATCAGAAAAGTTCGATTGGGGGGTGGGTATCTCTTCATGGTTCAAAGGAGAGCCGGGAAATCTGGTCTACACAGTTCCCAAAGCAGAAGACAGAGGACATGATAACGGCTCAGGTAAGATCTGGGAGAGGAGATACAGAGGGGGAGTTGGAGACTGTTGGTGTGTGCCTCTAGGAGGTAGCAGCTTCACCCTGAGCATATGACCTTGAGCAGAATCATTCCTTCTGTATCTTACTTCAGCTCCTGAACCCCTAAAGTTCGAATTACCCCATACACACACACACACACACACACACACACACACACATTACAATCATGAATGGGATGAGGTTTCCAAGCACTTTAGACAATGTTCAGATTTAGGGGATACCCTAAGGCACCAATCCACCCATCTTCAGAAGGAGCCAGTTAAGGATGGAAATTTTCAACTTTCACCCATACGTTCAATGTCCTCGATGACCTAGGTGGCTCTTAATCAGATGTGACAATAGAACCACCGCATACATTATTGTTCCTCTCATCCTTTCTTCATACAGATTGATGTGTCCATGGTCACCAGCACTTCATATATAGGCCAGCTCCTTGAATAATGGAATAAATTCAGACTTATTTTCAGAATTCTAATTCCTTCCTGAACAATACGTCCCCGAGTAATTACTCGTTGGTTACTCAAAAGAGATTCCAATACAGAAAATAATCAGTGAAATGAACAAATCCAAGATGGGAAGATCAGAGATGTTATTATCTTAGAAGCTAGCCTAGTTAGAGTACTTAGTTTAGAGGCTATACACTGTATAGTAAAACAAACAAAAACCACTGCCATCCAGTTGATTCTGACTCACAGAACTCTATAGGACAAAGTAGAACCTCTCTCTAGGGTTTCTGAGGCTGTAAATCTTTAAGTGAGCACACAGCCTCATCTGTCTCCTCAGAATGGTTGGTGGGTTTGAATTGCTAACCTTGCGATTAGGAGTCCAGAGCCAGGGGTCCTATGCTGCAGAGGGTTTTATTTTATCACCCTGGTGCAGTGGGAAGTCTGCTGGCTTGGGAATGAGGATGTTAAGTCCTAACACCCCTCTGTGGTTAACTAAATAGTTGGGGCAAGTCTTTTCTTCTCTCTAGATCTCCATTTTCTTGTGATAAGACTCTCCAAGTTCTCTTTCAGCTATCCCTAAGCTGATCCTTTGAGAAAGAAAAAAAGAATCACTGCTCAGCCTGATGTCTTTCCCAGGGCTTGTTCTGCCTGTATGTATTGTGAACCACTCGTGTATAGTCAAGGGTGAGTCTGGAGAGGTGGGTTAGCTATGTACAGA